AATTAAAATGAAAACAACAGATATCTTTGTGAATGCTTCGTCAACAGCATTTAGTTACAGATTCATCACCTAATTTTAAGAGTGAACATTTTCTGTTAAATAAAACTAATGATGTTAAGATTGAATGACTAAAAATGCACTATATGAATTTAGGCATTAAATTGAATTTAATGTAGACATAAAGAACTAAAATATATATTTTAGTATAAGATGAAGTATGCAATATTATATAAGAAACTAAAAAAAGCATATCATAAATTTAAAAAACTAAAGTAAAACCATATGTGAATTTAGACTAAATATATTCTTCATATGTTTATGTAGTGTAATACTGTAATCTATTCTAAGAGGGAGAATGATTAACAAAAAGACTAGAAATTTTATAATTATGTAAAGATGTGTAGTTATTTTTAATTCAAATCTAATCAGAAACTATTAAAGCATTAAAAAACAAATCTAATTTAGATTTAGTGAAGGAAGATAATTATTTGGACACCTTGCATAATCGATACCATTAGGACAAACGCCTGGCAATCTGGCCCATAAAAAGGAAGAAAAGAAGAGAGAGATGCACGGAGCAATAAAAGAAGAGTCTACCGTGTCGTTGAATTCGGACAAAGGGCCGTCTCAAAAAGCAGTTCGAGTCTCACCCCTTCTCTTCTTATCTTTTTTTTTTTCCCCTCTTTTTTTTAACTGTTAGATTAATATATTTTAATAGTTTAAATTTTAATTTTTTATAAAATATTTATAAAAAAAGTTTAAAAAATATTTAGTGCACTTACAAATCATTAGAATTAATTTTAATATAATTTGTTATTTATTATTTATTTATGGGTTAAGATGTAATTTTAACCAAAATCTTATTTTTCAGGTATAATTTTGTCCATGATCTTTTTAATGATGCAATTTTGATTCTGATTTTTCTTTTAGGTATAATTTTGCCCCTCAAAGTGAAAATTGTATCCAAAGATCAGAGACAAAATTGCACTCGAGAAAAAAAGATCAAGGGCAAAATTATACTTGAGAAATAAGATCAGGAACAAAATTGCACGACTAAGAGATTAGAGACAAATTACACATGAGAAATAAGATCAAGGTCAAAGTTACACCTTAACCCTTTATTTATTTTATAATTTAATATCTTAATAATAGTTTTAAAAAGATTTAAATCTGAACCGTCAAAATATTAATCTAACGGTTAAAAAAAAAAGATCAGAGGAGAGATTCCGAACTGCTAAAAAGCCGGGCAAAATTAAGATTACAGAATTATAGGGTGCCCACAGATCTATTTCCTTTAGACAAAATATTGAGAAATTTGTTGGGGTAGAGGTTGTCTCCTTTTTCACTTGTCCCCTTTCATTCTTTTTCCTTCATTATTATTAATTAAAATTTTAATCATTCATATTTAATTTTTTATAAAATAATTATTATACTTTACATAAAAAATATATAATAAATTTAAATTATTAAAATTTTGAATATTTCACAAATGTAGATTATTATTAAAATATTTTATTAAATAGATTTTTCTTTAAAAAAAGATAAAAAAGAATGTTGAATATATATATACAGAAAATTCTAAAAAATATAGGTAACAGTTTAAAATGATAGAAAAGGAGGGTGGGCCTGTACTGGAATTATGTAAATGTGAAAAAATGATCAATATGCCCTTATGCGACGAAGTTGTTATTTTGAGTTTTGCTATTATTATTTTTAATTTACAACTTGTTATTTCCAACTTATAAGTTTTATCCTAATGATAAATCCTGATTATCAATTTAGAACTCGTTATTTTCAGTTCAAAACTTATTAATTTAAGTTTTGTTATTGTTATTTTCAGTTCATTTTTTTACCACAAGATATCAAAATTCACTTATTTTATGTAAAATTTACTGCTAAAGAACAAGAAAAAATATTTGGAAAGTGAAGGAAAATTCAGAAGTAGTAGAGGCGATAGCTGACACCCAATAGATCCGTTGAAAAATATTGGGATGGCTTCTCCTTCCGAAGCTCCGGCATCACCCATGTACCACCAAGGAACAAAAAACCGGACCGGACACTAAACCGGTTGAGGTAGTGGTTCAAGGGTCAATGGGTCAGATCGGGGTCAAACCGGGATCAAACCGTCACATTAAAATGATAAAATTTAATTAAAAATAACAAAGTATAGCAATATTAATAATCACTAATAACAAAATGTAAGGAAATACAACAATAATTTGATTGTAATTAAAACAAAATACAATAACATTAAGGATTTTGATCTTTATGATTTCTTAATAACTAATATTAATAATTATTAATACCAAAATTATTATTAAAATTCATTTAAATATATAGTGATTGAAATATTAGGAGTTGAATAAGAAAAAATAAGATAAATAGCAAAATATCATTCAAACCGGTTCATTACCGGTTTATACCGGTTTTTGCCGGTTTGCACCGGTTTATCCGGTTTGACCGGGTTGATGCCGGTTCATTTTATGACCGGTTCATTGCTTTAAACTGGACCGGACCACTGGCCGGTTCACCGGTTCACCGGTTGAACCGGCCGGTTCGGTCCGGTTTTTTTTCACTGTGTACCACTGAATTGCCAGAGGCACATCCGAGTCTCCTGTTAAACTCTACGCTTCTTATCTTGTTTATAAGATATTTTCAGCATGTTTATACAAATTAAAAAAAATCTTAAACTTTATTAATTCTCATTTAAAATTTAATGACTTTCTAACTTTATCCCTATTAAATATGCATTATACTTCATATAAACAAAATCAACACAGTAATAAATGATGGGTAAAATTGTACATCTATATAAAAAATTTCTCTCAGGATCCTATAAATAGGATCAAAAAATATCTTCGCTCTCTGCTTTACAAATAAGACCAGAGGAGTAATTCATGTGAAAGTTTTACACCAAAGAAATACGCCCATGCATATACATATTCACATATTTTCTCTTCTATTTTATTTTATAAAATACAACTACTCCTCCGGTTTTTAATATAGGACATAATTGTTGAGTTGATTTTGATCCTAAATATAAGATCTATTCCTCAGATTTATCAATTTTTCTCAAATTATATCTATGGATACTCCCTCAACTATAATCAAGTAGAAGAGGGAGATGGGATATTAATAAAAATGATTATGGTGTTTTAGGAAAAACATGTCATATTTCTTATAATTAACTAATTTACCTAATTTCTTTAATCTAATCAAATTAGTTAAATAGGTCTTATAGTAAGGACCAAAAGAGTAATTAGTAATTAATTCCATCGTACATATTTAGTCTGCTAGCTGTAAGATTAGAGACATTATATTAATTTTTATTTCTTAGTATATAAGCTAGATAAGTAATTTGCGAATATTACGAAAATGAGTTAAGTTAGTTATTTGTAATAAATATGTGTTGTCTTTCCTAAACTACCATTATTAATCATGTGTAGTAGAATGGAAACCTTTTAAAATGTGCAATAATCATGGGGACTGCTTTAAAGAAAAATAAATAAATATAATAGACAAAATGAATTGAAATCTTATATTACTTTTAGTTTTTTATATAAGAGCTAGTTGATTAATTTGAGTAGATTAAATAAGTTTGTTAAATTAGTTATTTATAAGAAATAAGTATTGTCTTGCTTATAATACTTTTACTAATCATGTGTATTAACTAGCTAGAACTGTTATTTAATAAAATCTTTAACATATGCAACTACTATAAGGACTGTTTTGAAAAAATAGATAAATATGAGATATAAAGTGAATTGTAATATTACATTTAGTATCAAATTAAAAATAAAACTAATTTTTATATTAAATTAAACACCAGAGGCAGTATTTAAGATTAGATTAAATCTTTAACCAGCTCATGTTCATGACTGGAGGTTCAAGACGCTGACAGAATCACAGAAGAGAAGCTTAATTACGTGTTATTCTGAGAATGAATTGCATGCATGTGTGCTAGGGTGTTAAAAAAAAAAAAAAATTACATGCAAGTTGACAAGTGTCTGCAATATTCATCACATGCACAATGACCAGTGTGTTCAGGCATTTAGTTTTTGCCCTCTGAAATAACGTTTTAATTCATGGACATAATTAAATATATATTTTTGAAAATGTTATATATATATATATTAAAATTCTAATATAACAAATAAATATTAATAAATTGTAAATATTTAATGACATTATTTTTTTCATAATTTTTAATTATAAATGTAAAGAGTTGAAATAAATTGTATTAGTCATGATTTATAAATGATATAATTTTTCAGAAATCTTATTTGTTTTATTTTCTCATAATCAACTGAACAACTTTATATATGTTTCATATTATTATTATGTATATTATTGTTCATAAACGGACTCTATTTGACAAATAAGAATTGATTTTTTTAAGTTGAAAAAACTTAAGCACCCCCATTTTTTCCCTTTTGGACTTCACGTGCTGCTAATTGCTAAACATCTTGCTAATTAAAAAAAATGTGCCCGTTTAATTGCAAATCTCCGCCATCTTTTCTCTTATCAGCGTTGTTAATTAGTGGATCTTCGTAAATAAGGGGTGGTTGACTTATAAGTATGTCCCATTAATATTATTGCCATTAGTTGGTATTTGTACTTGTCTATTTTCATATTGACGTTATCCAGTATTATCTGAAAAAAAAAAAAAGAAAGAAAGAAAGAAGAAGGAAAGAAAGAAAGAAAAGGAGGAAAAAACGAAAACATCTCTTAAATATTACAGTTTCTTGTGCATTCTAAGGGATTTATACACGAGTATGCCGAAAATGAAAGGCTAATCATCCTGATCAAGATGAGCAAATAGAATAAACCAGCCAAGTACTTCAGAGAGGCCACTAGCAAAAGAAAATATATTTTTTCACAATAAAACATGTTTAAATTATTATTCCTTCAGGAGAAGATAGACACAGAACTCACAGGAAGAACTCGAATCCAGGAACACTTAATCACAGAGAACTGAACAAGATGAAGGCATATTAATGTCAAGTTTTTGGACAAAAGGAGTATGGAATTGGATGAAGAAGAAGCTGTATCTTCTTGCGAATAGCTTGGCCATCTGCCTCACTCATGTCTATGTCCTTTCCATAAGTCATAGCAGTTCCATCATCATCAGGAAACTTCCAATCGAACCAATATAAGAGATTAGCAAGCGTATATTCAACTGAAGCAACCCCAAAGTATAGTCCAGGACACCCTCTTCTTCCAAAACCAAAGGGAATAAACTCAAAGTCTTGGCCTTTGAAATCAACTTCACTGTTCTCAAATCTCTCTGGAACAAACTCTTCAGGCCTCTCCCAGTGATTTGGATCCCTGTGAATTGCAAATGGATTGACAAGGATGTTTGTTTTTGGGGGAATATCGTGCCCTCCTAGCTTCACACTGTTATTAGTTTCTCTTGGAATAAGACCAGCAGGATGTAACCTTAGAGTTTCTTTCACCACACATTTCAAGTATCTCATCTGATTAACATCAGTTTCATCTATTCTTGTTTTATACCCCACAATTCCTCGTACCTCTTCTTGTGCTCGCTTCATTTTCTCTGCATGTTTCATCATCTCTGCCATAGCCCATTCCATTGTAGTTGAAGTAGTGTCAATTCCTGCTGCAAACATATTCTGCAATTTTGAGATAATTAAAAATGCATGTCTCCTACATATATATGTATATTTTAGAGAGGGAGAGAGATATATATACCACTATGATTGCCTTGATGCTAACTAGGGAGAGATCAGAGCGAATGATACCATTTTGTTGAAGTTCAAGCAGAATATCCAAAAGGTCTTTATTCTCATGAGTATTATTCCTTCTCTTACTTTTATGTTGTTCAATCTCGTGGAGTATTAAAGCTTCTAATTCTTTAGAAGTGGCCTTCATTTTTGGAATAAGTCCTTTAAAACAATCCATCCACCACAATGAAGGGAAGAAATCCCCAAAACTGAATTCTCCGAATTCATGCATCATTTCCATCATTATCTCCCTTAACCTACTGCTTTCACCATCTGAAGTTTCACATTTATGGCCAAAAATACATCTACACAGTACATTGTTCAGAGTTTCAATCAGCATCTGAATCAGATTTACTGATACAGGCAACCCATCATTCTTGCTATTGCGTGCCTCATCACGAATCTTATTAACCAAGTTTGAAACTTCCTCTTCACTTATGTATTGAAAAGATTTCACCTTTCTGGGGCTCAAGAATTCTGTGATAGAGATTTTTCTTCTCAGTTTCCATCCTTCGCCATAGGGTGCAGAAATCACATCATTGCATCCGTAGAAAAGGATTTTTGCGGCTGTGATTGAACGACGGGAAGAGAAAACAATGTCATTACTGGTTTTGGCCATTTCTCTGGCAAGATCTGCAGAAGAAACCACCACAGTTGGAACTTGGCCTAGATGCAGTAACATAAGAGGGCCATACTTGCTTGAGAGAGATCTGAGAGATTGATGAAATGGTGTGCTTATCTGATGAAGATTGCCAATGATGGGTAATTTTGGAGGAGAAGGAGGGAAGTTGGGTTTGGTTCTTTTTCTTGTGAGTTTAAATGCGAGGACGATAAAGATGAGGCACCAAAAGAAAGAGAGGTAAAGGTTTTGATTTAGCTCCATAGCCGCCATTGCTCCTTCCAATTGGACGAGACAGCTTCCAACAGATCGATCGATGTTCGCTTGCTTTTTTTCTTTACTTGCTTCCAATATGCTTAGTTATAGAAGCCAGCTTGTAGACTCATGAAACTCAAGAACATGAACAATGATACTACCTTCTATGTTAAATACAAAAACTAGTTGAAGATTCAATTTAGTCTTAAATATAAGATTCGAATCCATTTTGTTTTTCATATTTACTTATATTTTTCTAAAGTTGTCCCTATTGTGATTGTATATATTAAAATGTTTTTATTGTAATGTATATTTTAATAAGAATATTTTAGGAAAGACAATATTTATTAATATTTCCAAATTAATTATCTATCTTTTAGATCAAGGACAGAAGATAGTAAATAAGGATTAGTTATCTTTCAATGAACTTTAAAATTTCTCAAGTACATGAATTCACAATAAATATATTAATTTGGGCATATATTATGGACTGAAAGAAAATTTATTAAATGCCTGCTTTACTACTCACCTAACCTTAATTTTTTTTCTTTGGCCGAACACCTAACCTTAATTTAAGTATTTCTTATTGCTTTTTTGTTATAATAAATTTTCTTATAGACATGAACACTTTGTTAGAAAGAAAGAAATACTTGGAGAAAGATTAGTTTTTTATTCAATTGCCCACATAAATTCTGACAGTTTAAGATTTTAATAAAATGAAATATAGTGTACGTTTGGCATGATTTTTCATAGGATTTGTACTGCATAAGATAAAACAATCCTATATTATATATATATATATATATATATATATATCTGGGCATGATAAAACACTGCATAGATAAAAATCTTATGAGGCATAATAAAAACAGATTTATAGTTTCCATACTAGGAATGTTTGACGAAATACTCCCTCATTCATAATGTAAGATATTTTTTTTCTTCATTAGCGATGTAAGAAATTTTTTACGAGCTATTATTAGGAGAGCACATTCCATGCCCAGTACAATGATAAGCATAGAGTGTTCATCTTAATCTAGACTATTCATATTAATTTTAAATGATCTAGATTTAATTTAAATTTTTTAATGTTTTAAATAATTTCTTATTTTAATAGATATAAAATTTAAAATAAACAAAATCTTATAAGTGACACTTCCTAAAAAAATAAATCCGTCACTGAAAAAATTGTAAACTAAAACTTTTAAACTTGGAGCATTTGGTTGATATTTTATTATATACAGCGATGAGCACCTATGAGCATCAAATGAGGATCTATTATTAGTCCAAAATAAAAGACATTTGTAATCTTAAGAAATATCTTGTCAAGTGTTGGTTAATGCGTACTAAGTAATTATGCAAGGGAAATTATATATGGATGTTAGTTGCGACTGAGGGGAAACTTGAAAAAAAAAAAGTTAATTTTTCATAAGAGCTAATTGTGTGTGTTAAAATTATCCTGTGACGGAAACCTTTTAATATGCGTGAATTTTTTTTTTTGGAACTTAGTTGAGTATTTTCATGCATCATTAGCACTACTTTCTTCATTTTTTTATTAGACGCATTAAATTATTCGGAAAACTAATTTGAAAGTGTTTATAGTGTTTCTTTTTTAAAGTTTTGAATCAGCTTTTTCTTTTTATGAGGTCTTTTAAAATAATCCTGAGATTTAAAACTATTAAATAGCGAGCAACGGTATTAAAATTTTTCGTTAAATGAAAGAAAACACATCTCCTCCTTCTTTTTCCTTCCACAAAGCCCCTGGGCGAGCTTTTCTCTCTTCGTTGCTTATTCGTGGACATCTTTTCCTTCCCCATTCTTGCATTATTTTGCACTAAATTAATTAAATTAATTTTCTCTAAATTATTTACCATCAATTAAGACATTAATTAATATTTTAAAAATTATTTTACCCTTTTATAAATATTCTTTGTTAGATATTCTCTTTTAAATTTTTAATTAATTAAAAATAAATTTTAACTAAATTTGTTTCTAAATGAATATTTACAGCCTTCTAAGAGCTTGGTCTTGAAGTCAGGTGGGTGTGTGAAAAGAGGGTTTAGATTAATTATTTGGAAGTGATTTTTTATGGTGTATAAAATAAGCATGCGAATGAAGTTTTAACTCAATGATGATAAAAGGCTAAAACAAACACGCACTTCAACTTTAAAATGAGTTTTATCAGTAAGCTAAGTAGTGATTTTACCTAAAAGTCATCCAGACATAAGAAAATATTATAACCAACTTTTCATTAAAAAACGGACGTTTTGGCTATCGCATGGGCAATTCAAATACTCTTCTAATCCTATTTATAAGTCATTTTTAGCATGTTTTACACAGATCAAGAAAAATCTTAAATTTCATTATCTTTCATTTAAAATTCAACAACTTTTTAAGTTTATCTCTATTTAATATATATTATGTCTCATCTGAACAAAATCAATATAATAATAAATAAAAGATAAAATTATATATTTATACAAAAAAATTTTTTGTGCACCCTATAAATAAGACCCAAAAATAATTTTTTCTCTCTGTTCTATATACAAGACCAGAGGAGTAATCTTTTTCACAAGTTCGAATGACTATCTGTTACGAGAAACGTGACAAAAGGGATTACATGCATGGTTACAAATGTCCTCATGTAGGATATCCTGAGAAGGGACATCTGATCTGAGACTGAGTCATAAATTATTACTGTATTTTCTGTGAATGCATCACACATAATGTTAACATTTCTACAAGTTTCAAGACTGTCTGTTATGCAAAACGTGGCACAAGGGATTACATGCAAACTTAGAGGGTGTAGTAATTGAATGAGGAGGTTGTAGTTAAATGACATGCAAGCACGGTTTCCAAACTAGGGCTCATATATTATACTCCCTCCGTTCCTTATTATAAGAGACAAATAACCGAAGTACGTTGATCAAAAAAATAGTTAAAGTTAGTTAAGAACAATCAATGTATAAAAAGTATAATTTTTTTCCAAAAATGCCCTCATTAATAAGGAGAGAGAGCATGAGAGAGAATAATTAAATTATTAAAAGAAAGAGAAGTGGGAGGGAGAGAGAGTGTGAGTTGGAGATAATAAATATGGGTAAAATAGTAAATCAACACAAAAAAGTAGAGACAACTTGTAAGTGTCTCTTATATATAGGAACATGACATAAGCATCAAGTGTCTCTTATAATAAGGAACAGAGGGAGTAGTATTTCCAATTTATATGTGGAGTAAGGCATTTGTGCCAATCAGATTTTTTCAGTGTGTGTGTATAAGTAAAAGACCAAAGTCCTTAAGTTACCTTTTTAAATTTCAAGATATTAAATTTCCATTATCATCTTTATTTATTATTACTCTTCTATCTCTATTTATAAAAAATAATTTTTTTTTTAAAGTAGTGTTAAACAAGTCATTGTTGTCTGAAATTTTAAACTAGTATGAAATATGTAGTTATTTGGTTCTATTTATAGGTTACCTTCAACACGTTTCACACATATCAAGAAAACTTTTTTATTAACTCTCATTAAAAATACAATAACTCTTTAACTTCATCCCTATGTAATATACATTATATTTTGCAAGAAAAAAATCGATACAATAATAAATGAAAGATAAAATTTTACATTCATATAAAAAAAAAATTCTTTATCTTACAAATAGGACAAAACATTTTCTTCTTTCTCTGCCCTATATATAGAACAATACAAGATATACTAGTATCTTACACATTTATCTCTTTTAACTAAATTTATTAACTAATATTTTGAATCCTGTGCTTCTGATAGTTATTTCTTAGAGGGGAATATAATTCCAAAATTTCATTTCCCCAAATTATAAGGCAAGTAGGGGGTAGAATGTCTTTAAAAGCATTCATATATACGACTATATACTATATGTGTGCTGCGCTCATCAAAATTTGTACTACATCTATTCAAAGCCATTTTGTAAAATCTATGTAAGAGTCAATAGCTTTTCTAGTAGTTTCCTTAGTATAGATATTGTTGAGTCGTTATGGTGGAAAGAGGAATTAAAAGATACTCTCTCTGTTCCTTATTATAAGAGACATTTGATGCTTATAGCATGTTCCTATATATAAGAGACACTTACAAGTTGTCTCTACTTTTTTGTGTTGATTTCCTATTTTATCCATATTTATTATCTCCAACTCATACTCTCTCTTCCTCCCACTTCTCTTTCTTTTAATAATTTAATTGTTCTCTCTCATACTCTCTCTCTTTATTAATGAGGGCATTTGTGGAAAAAAAATTATACTTTTTACACATTGATTGTTTTTAACTAATTTTTTTATCAACGTAATTCGGTTATTCGTCTCTTATAATAAGGAACGGATGGAGTACAACCAAAGATTTAAATTTATTTTTGAGTATTGTTGGAACAAGATGATGTAATTTGAGGACATGGACTAATTTTGACTAAATTTCTTGATTTGTGTGAATTAATTAAATGTGATTCATATAAAAATGGAGAGACTATTTTTTTGCCAACGGAGAGAGACTATATATAATTTACTGCAGAACAAACACACCGGAATATATAATTTAATTTATTGCAGCAGCATGCAACATATAGCATGACTTATTTATAGAAAAGCGAAAACGATCAAGACATACAAGATCATCAAGTTTTAGGGCAAAAGGGGTACATATGGAATTGGCTGAAGATGAAGAGAAAGCTTCATGGGGGAAAGTAGGCCGTCTGCCTCACTGATATCTATGTCGTCCTTTCCATCATCATTATTATTATGAGCAGGCAGCTTCCAATCAAACCAATATAAGAGATTAACAAGTGTATACTCAATCGCTGCAACTGAAAATAAGATCCCAGGACAAATTCTTCTTCCAAAACCAAATGGTATTAACCCAAAGTCTTGGCCCTTGAAATCAACCTCATTATTCTCAAATCTTTCTGGTATGAATTCTTCTGGCTTTTCCCACTGACTAGGATCTCTCTGAATTGCCCATGCGTTGATAATTACACTTGTTTTTGGGGGAATATCGTAGCCTACTAGTTTCACAGTGCTGCTAGTTTGCCTTGGGAAAAGAAGAGGACCAGGTGGATGAAGTCTCATAGATTCCTTCACCACACATTTCAAGTAGCTCATTTGATTCACTTTGTCTTCGTCTATTATTTTTCTTGATTTATTATTCTTCCCTGTAATTCTTCGCACCTCTTCTTGGGCTTTCTTCATTTTCTCAGGATGTCTCATCAATTCTGCCATAGCCCATTCCGTGACAGTTGAATTAGCTTCCAATCCCCCTCCAATCATACCCTGTGATTGTTCAAATGCATCATGTGTTAGCTCGCTCGCATATCTGCTCCTTCCAATCCTATATATAACTAAGTTACATCTAACCAAATTATACAGATAAAAATATTAGTTAAAATTATTCAAAAGCAATAAATATGGAGAAGATTTAATTTTTTTCCCCCAGATATAAAAAATAATTGATGAGAAAAAGACATGAGAGAGACGTATAATTAATTAAGAGTAAAAAATAAAATAAAAAACTCATCAAAATTTTCAAACAATAAAAAAAATGTTGCTTATATGTGTGAGAGAATGTTGGTCATATGCTAATTTGGTCCTTATTATTTGTTATTTGCAGGAGTTTTTCACCTACTAAGAAGAACTTTAAATAGCAGATGAAATCTTTCACTTTTGCCCTTATTAAAGAGATATGAATATTGGGAAAAATGTGATAAATGCTACTCCTCCGGTCCTAATTATAAGATCCAATTGACTTATTTGAGGAGATTAAGGAAGTAAGTTAAGTTGGTTATTTATAATAAATAAGTGTTATCATTCCTAAAATATCCTTGCTAATTAAGTATATTGGCTAAAACTATCATTATTAGAAGGATTATGTTGGAAAAAAATGCATAAATATAAGAGAAAAAATGGATTGGGTCTTATAATTAGGACCAAATAAAAAGTCAAATTGGGTCTTATAATAAGGACCGGAGGAGTAATATATTTTCTCTCACCCATTCCCTTTATCTTCACCTTTACTATAATTAATTAAGGTAGAATTGGGAATGACGCATTAAAAAAGGTACAAATGATATATAAAAAAAAACCAAAATCTTCTCCTGCAAATGACAAAAAATACCAGATAGAGTATGCTAGCCCTGTTTCAAAGAGTGAAACTTATGAGACTACTATGTTTTATGATTAAGGAGGTGTTTGGAAGCACCAAAAGTGCTTCTTAGAAGCACTTTTCTGTAAAACGAGACAAACTCCTCCACATATTTATTTCGTATACCGTAAAAACACTTTTAAAATCATACTTTTGATTTTATCCAAACACTCCTTATCTATTTGTATGATATATATAGGGAGAGAGAGTACTATTATCAGTGTCTTGATGCTAGCTAGGGAGAGTCCAATGTCAGGCATATCATCGTCTTGTTGAAGTTCAACCAAAATATCTACGAAGTCCTTATCCTCATCAGTATTCCTTTTCTCACTCTTACGTTGTTCAATCTCGTGGTTGACGAAAGCGTCCAATTCTCTGAAATTGGCCTTCACTTTGGGAACAAGCCCTGTAACAAAATCCATCCACCACAATGACGGGAAGTAATCCCCAAAACTGAACTCTCTGAAATGACTCAACATTTTCATCACTAACTCTCCAAATCTGTTACTTTTATCGTCTAGGCTTTCATACTTTCTCCCAAAAACACATCTAAAATTTATGTTCCATGTGGTTGCATTAAGCATCTTAACCAGATTCACTGGCGCATTCTTCTTCATGCAAGCTTCACGAATCTTGTTAACCAAGTTTGAAACTTCCTCTTCCCTAACGAATTGAAAAGATCTGACCTTTTTCAAGCTGAGGAATTCAACAACAGAGATTTTCCTTTTGTATCTCCAGTCTTCGCCATAGGGTCCAAAGCTCACGTCCTTGCCTCCATGGAAGTAGATTTCTGCAACTGTCATTAAGGGACGATAAGAGAAAGCCATGTCGCTGTTAGTGACCATTTCTCTCACAATATTTGCAGAAGAAATTACCAGAGTTGGAATCTGACCAAGCTGGAGCAACATAAGAGGGCCATACTTATCTGAGAAAGATCCCAAAGAGCGATGAGAGAACGTTCCCATCTGATGAAGATTGCCAATAATGGGTAATTTAGGAGGACATGGAGGCAGATTGAGCTTATTGCTTCCTCTATTACTTATGAGCTTAAACACAATAATCATGGTGAAGATGAGACACGACAACATAGAGAGGCATAGGTTTTGATTTGGTAATTCTGCAGCCATTGATCTTTCCATCAATTGTGAAAGAACAATGAAACTATGTTTCACTTTATATCAAATGAAAAAACCCCATCCTTATTTATACAAGTTTAGGAAGGCTTCTATATTTATTACAACTCGTAATAAATTATTATTTAATGCACCTAAATTACCAACACTTCAAAATTGCAAGTTTCTTTGACCCAAAAAAAAAATTGCGAGTTTCGATGCACCTATCAGTGACCAGCATTTAATGCGATATTCAACGACTCTATTCAAACTAATGTTCTTCATAATGGACTCAAGAAAATGGACCTGAACCATGGCCCATATAGAAATTCTGGATGGAGACATTGATTGCGAGTTGCAGAAGGCAGCTAAATGCTCAAAATGACACTTTGCAGGTCATTTACTTGGAGAAGCACTTCTTTCCCCTTGACGGAGGAGATGAACTTTTATGCTTTGATGGCCCTTTTATTTGTGATTCTCTCCTTTTTATGTTAGCGATTGTGCTTAGTTGGATCTGCACCTGGTGTAACGGCATATGAAGAAGGACCTGCATGGCTAACTGAGCAAATAATAAAGACGGAATAAAAAGATAAAAAAAAACTCCAAAGGCTTGATTCAAAATTTGATAAAACTAGAACTCTCAAATTAATTTTCCTTTAAAAGCAAAAATAAAAACTTTAATCTATTTGATACTCTCTTTAGTATATGAGAAACTTCTACAAATAAGAAATACTTTAATAAGTACCAGAGTGGTAAGTGAGAAATTGTGAACACATCTTTAACAGATTTAATGTCATCGTCTTTTTTTGGGCCAACGATTTAACGTCAGCATCTAACTCCTTTTCTCCCAGTTAATTTCCCCAGAACATAAGTCCTACATTTAATAATATGTTAAACACTATTAAATTTTTTTTATTTTAATTTACTCTATACATTTAAGGGTTCTTTTGGATCAGCGATTAAAAAAGTAGCTTATTGTCAATTTGGCTTATGAAAAAGTGAAGTTAGGTAAAAGCTAAATTGGATAAGTTGAATTGTGTTTGGATTGGAGTTCAGAAAAGTTAGTTTGTAAAAGTGAGATTGATAAAATGTTGTTTGGATTATCGTTGAGTAAAAGTAAGTTTGGTTGTAGAATGACCACAATAGGTATGAGTTTTAATAAATAATGAAACATGATTAAAAAAATGATTTTACATAGTACAATAAATTTAAAATCATTTAATATGAAAAAGTGAAATTTAATGAGTGAATTAAATTTCAAAATTTAGAGAAACCATTTTAAATATAAAGTGATAAAAATACTAATATATTATACTATATATATGAGATAAAAAAATTAATTCTCAGCAAAAAAAAACTTTAAATCAAATACTAATATTTTAAATTTTATCAGATTCCTGTTTTTTTATTCAGTTCATTTTCTCATGTTAGTTTGACTCTTTTTTTTTTTCCTAGTCCAGATGTTCTCCATCATTCCATTCCCCTTCGCTCCACCACCCCTTGCTGGCTTTCTCATTTCCCAACCAATAAGCACATAAAAGTAGCTTTCATCAGCTTATGCCAATCGTGGAAAATAAGCTACTTTTGGCTTAAAAGTAGGATGGGCCAAAAGTGAAACCAAATGCAACAAAAATTGGATAAGTTTTGGTCCATAAGGAGCTTATAAGTCATTTTTAAGTGAATCCAAACAGGCACTAAATTCTCAGACGATGACAATACTCTTAGATAAACTGGACTTCTATATTTTAAACTTGGTGGAGTATTTTCATGCATTAGTATATATTTAGTGCTACTTTCTTCATCTTTTTTATTATTAGAGGCATTGAATTATTGAAAAAATTAATTTAAAAGTACTTGTAGTTTTTTTTTTTTTAGGTTTTGAATCATGTATTGGTGGAGTATTTTGCTCTTACTGATTCCTCCAAAATTACTCTATAATTAATTAATCCTCATGTTCACAGCTATGTAACCGAGCCGCTTTATTTGTTTAAGTCATTTTGTTTTCTTCCCATTTTCGTCTGTGCTCAAGATTCTTGTTTTCTTGAGATCGGAAGAATGGTTGTCGGGGAGAAATGGTGGGAAAAGGAAAGATGTTGATGATGTAGCTTTCATTTAACGAAAATTTTTAACTTTTGTAAATTTTAATGATTATTAGATCTAACGGGAGAAAATTAAAATTATTTACCATTAGTTAATATTTTTAAAATTATTTCACCCTTTTATAAGAATCATTATTTGATACTCTCTTTCAAACTTTTAATTAATTAAAAATAACTTTTAAGGGAGTTTTTAAAATAAATATTTATCGCCTTCGAGGAGCTTATAGCCCAATCGGCAACCTTTTAGTGTCAAAAAATTAACTTTTTAGAAATAATTCTACATTATAAACGATAATAATATGAAAAAAGTTTTCTCCAATATTTTAAAATGACTATCATAGGAAAAATTGCAGAAAAATAAACAGTAAATTGTAAATCAGTTATTTTGTCAAAAATTTATCGTCATTTGTCATTTGATTGTTGTCCAAAGCTACAAAAGTCTTGTAAACCGTCTTAGATTTGTGATTTTGCGAAAAAAAATTTCTTGTGATTTTCCCAAAATCTTATTAGCCAACTTTTCACTCAAATTAAAAACGAACGTTCTGGCTATGGCATGGGCGATAATCCAAACGGGCTCTTTTACAAGTTTCAGTGACTATCTGTGATGCGAAACGTGACGCGAGGGATTACATGCATGCTTACAAGCGTCGTCTTCATCACGGACGATCCTGAGGAGGGACATGTGATCTGAGACTGACTCATTACTTATAGTACTACTCTAGTCCTATTTATAGGGTAGAAAAGAAGACATTTTTTGTCTTATTTATAGGATATTGAGAGAAATTTTTTGTATAGATGTATCATTTTACTCTTTATTTATTATTGTATTAATTATGTTTATATGAGGTATAATGTATATCAAATAGGGATAAAGTTGAAAAGATACTGAATTTTAAAATGAAAGTTAATGAAATTTAAAGTTTTTCTTGGTCTGTATAAAATATGTTGGAAGTGACTTATAAATAAAACTAGAGGGGTACTGTATTTTCTTATTTTCTGTGAATCCATCACACATAATGTTAACACTTCTACAAGTTTCAATGACTGTCTGTTATGCGAAACGTGGCAGAAGGGATTACATGCAGACTTAGAGCGTGTAGTTGAATGAGGAGGGTGTAGGAACAAGTGTTCTAAACTACAAGCTCCCGTTTTCAATACTCCCTCCAGTGTTTTTTTATAAAAGCTTGATAACCAAATGACACGATTTAAATAATAGATAAAATTAATTGAAAGTAAGAATGTAAGAAATGAATTTTTTTTTCAATAATCACGCCCTTATTTGAGAATGCAGTGCTCCTTTATGTCCATAATATAAGACATTGTTAATATAGTTAATGTGATTTTTTTTTCACTTTCGCTCCTATTAAATATAGGAGAAAAAAAATCAGAGAGATGAAAAATTATAAAAGTGTAATGTTAAAGGCAATTTTAACAACTCCGCCTATGTTGTATAGCCGGTCCCAAGCCCGGATAAAGGAGGAGGATTGTGTTAGGCCCTCGACAGCCAACGTAAAAACCCGTCGAATCTCATGAACATGGATCAACGAAGTAATTATGCTAATGCTAGGTCATTGCCCAGATGTGACGCGCTGTATGGCTCGAGTACAGTGAAAAATGAGCTAGAGCCGCTGCATCGTTGCCCGGATGTAGTGTTAAATGAGCAAGGGCTACCGCACTCTCTTGGACGGAGACGGCTAAAGAAGTTAGTTCATGAGACTGAGATTAGATTTGGCACTTGGAATATTGGGACGTTAAATGAGAAATCTATGGAAGTAGCAGAAGTTATGAGGGACAGAAGGATTAATATCTTATGCCTCCAAGAAACCAAATGGACTGGAGAAGCTGCCAAGGAACTTGGAGAGTATAAACTTTGGTACACAGGAAAGGTGAGTACAAGGAATGGGGTTGGTATCATCACTGATGGGACATGGAAAAAAAACGTGGTAGAGGTTAAAAGGTTTGAGGACAGAATAATATCGTTAAGAGTAATTGTTGGAAAGGATACTATCAATATCATTAGTGCCTATGCACCTCAGGTTGGGGCAGAGACACACCTTAAAGATAAGTTTTGGGAAGATATGGAGGGCTTGATTCAAAGCATACCACTCGAAGAAAAAAATTTTATTGGTGGGGACCTTAATGGACATGTTGGTAAAGAAGCAAGACAATTCAGTGGGGCCCATGGTGGTTTTGGTTTTGGGGAGCTTAATAGTGGAGGACAATCTATTCTCGATTTTTCTCTTGCATACGATCTTAAGATTGTCAACACTTGTTTTAAGAAGCGAGAGGAGCATTTAATCACGTACAAAAGTGGTGTCTCAAAATCACAGATTGATTTCTTTTTGGTTAAGAATCCGGACAGAAGATTGTGTACTAATTGCAAAGTGATTCCAGGAGACGGGGTGAGTGCCCAACATAGAGTACTTATCCTTGATGTATGTTTTAAGAGTACCAGGCAAAAGTACCATCAAGTGGCAAAACCCAGGATTAAGTGGTGGCAGTTAAAAGGAGAGAAGCAGGAGTTATTCAAAAGGACTCTTTTGAAGGAAGGGAATTGGGAGTTGCAGGGAAATGCAAACATGATGTGGGAAGAGATAGCTTCAAGGGTTCGTTTGGTAGCTAAAGCAATTTTGGGAGAATCCAAAGGTCCTGGTCAAAGAGATAAGGAGACTTGGTGGTGGAATAAGAGTGTGCAAGAGAAAGTCAAACAGAAAAAAGATTGTTTTAAGGCCATACACTTGTGCAATAGTGTAGAGAACCAGGAAAAGTATCAGTTGGCTAAAAAAGAGACAAAGAGAGCAGTGAGCGAAGCACGTACTAAAGCTTATGAAGGGTTTTATCAGGAGTTAGGAACAAAGACGGGAGAAAGAAATATTTACAAGATCGCGAAGCAAAGGGAGAGGAAAAAGAGAGATCTGGACCAAGTAAAGTGTATAAAGGATGAAGATGGTAAAGTGTTAGTTACTGATGGTGATATTAAGGACAGATGGGAGGCTTACTTTTACAAGTTGTTTAATGAGGGAAGCAATTATGCGACTCAGGACTTGCAGGACTTGCTAATTAACGAAGATGATCGGAATTTGGCTTTCTACCGCAGGATACGTATCGGAGAGGTTAAGGCGGCTCTCAAGAAAATGGACAATGGAAAAGCCGTTGGGCCTGATGGTATCCCTATTGAAGTTTGGAAATGTTTGGGTGATGAGGGGGAGGCGTGGCTAACCAAGCTTTTTAATGAAATTCTACGCTCTAAAAATATGCCGGATGAGTGGAGGAAAAGCATTTTAGTTCCTATTTACAAGAATAAAGGAGACATTCAAAACTGTGCAAGCTACAGGGGGATAAAACTTATGAGTCATACAATGAAGTTGTGGAAAAAAGTGATGGAATATAGATTGAGGTTGGAGACTTCTATTTCGGAAAACCAATATGGATTTATGCCAGGGAGATCCACATCGGAAGCAATCTATTTACTAAGGGGGTTAATGGAGAGATATAGAAGTAAAAGAAGAGATTTACATATGGTTTTTATTGACCTGAAAAAGGCTTATGATCGTGTGCCAAGAGAAGTATTGTGGAAGGCTTTGGAAAAGAAAGGTGTACGGGTTGCATATATCAAAGTCATACAAGATATGTATAAGGCGGTAACTACCAGTGTAAAGACGCCTGGGGGGGAGACAAAGGACTTCCCTATTAAGATTGGCCTACATCAGGGATCCTCTCTGAGTCCGTACTTGTTCAACATTGTTCTGGATGTTCTAACTAAACCTGTTCAAGAAAGAATCCCTAAGTCCATGCTCTTCGCGGATGATATAGTTCTTATGGCGGAATCAAAAGAAGAGATTAACACTAGTTTGGAGTTATGGAGAAGGACTTTGGAGTCGAAAGGTTTCCGTTTGAGTAGGAACAAAACAGAATATATGCATTGTGATTTTGGAGGGAGGCAAGGTAATAGGGATTTGGAGGTGAGGATGGGAGAGCAAATTATTCCTCAAGTATCAAAGTTTAAATACCTAGGATCCATTATACAGGAGGATGGGGAAATTGATGGAGACATTTCTCATAGAATACAAGCTGGCTGGTTAAAGTGGAGGAAAGCTACCGGAGTTATTTGCGATAAGAAGGTACCTGAGAAACTTAAAGGAAAATTTTATCGGACTGCTATAAGACCAGCTATGATGTATGGTAGTGAATGTTGGGCAATAAAGGGAAAACAAGAGCACAAAGTCGGAGTAGCAGAAATGAGGATGTTGAGATGGATGTGTGGTCATACAAGAAAAGATAGGATTCGAAATGAAAAGATCAGGACAAGAGTCGGTGTGGCACCTATCCAAGAGAAAATGGTTGAAAATCGCTTAAGATGGTTTGGACATGTGCAGAGAAGGCCTTTGGAGGCCCCGGTGAGGAGGGTGGATCAAACAAGATGGAGTCCCATAAAAAGAGGCAGGGGAAGACCGAGAAGAACGCTGAATGAGGTCATTGAACGAGACCTCCTAATCAACAACATATCTAAGGATTGGGTTGTTGACAGAGCACGATGGCGTCGTGTGATTCATGTAGCCGACCCCACCTAGTGGGATAAGGCTTGTTGTTTGTTTGTTGTTTGTTTAAAGGCAATTTTAACATTTTTGTAGGGATAAAATAGCAAAACTGTATCATTTTAGCACAAATTTAATGACCAAACTTTGATTTATTGGTATGTGAGAAAAGTTAAGTAACTTCTTATATTATGAGCTGGATGGAGTATATCAAGTTGCCAACCTTTTTACTAGTATAAAATTAATTAGGGACAAAAATAGTAAAAAAATATTAAATGTTCAAAAAATTCTAATTAGAATCTTATAAAAAGAATTAAAACAATTCAAATTTTAGACTTTTATAAAAAGAATCGGAGGAATATAAAATTTATTATTTTTATCTGAATATAAAATTTAATTTATAGTTCAATATAAAACGTAATTTGCACTGTATCAGATCGTATATTCCTCCAGTTTTTAATGTAGGATCTAATTTGAGAGTTGATATTAGTTTTATATGTAAAACCTATTTCATATATGTTTGTCAACTTTTTTCTAAATTAATCTTTTTATTATTCCCTCAACAATAATTAAGTCGGAAAAGAAGGGACAAAATTAAGGAAGATGATTAAGATGTTTTAAAAAAAATTATCACATTAACTAATTTAACTAAAATCCATAATATACTCAAATTAGTTAATATTTTAGAAAAATTTATCATATTAATTAATTTAACATTCATAATCTAATTAAATTAGTTAATTGAGTTTTGCATTAAAAACAGGAGAAGTATTAATCAAGGATAAGAGGTAATATTACCTTTTTTTTTTTAATGAAAATTCCAAAATAAAAAAATGCTGTAATTGTTTCAGTCAAATCTGAAAACGGACATTGCATCACTATCAAGGTTTACAACCAAAATTGTCGAAAAAATATATATGCAAAAATTGCTTAAGTGGTGGCACGATTTCTAAACTAAGGCTTATATTATAGGATTATTTACAAGTGACTAAGGCATTTGTGCCAATCAGATTTTTTTAATATAAGTAAAAGACCAAAGTCCTTAAGTTGCATTTTTTAAAATTTGAAGATTTTAAATTCACATTATCAAATTATAAGGCAAGTGGGGAGTATAATTTCTTTAAATGCATTTATATATACGACTATATGCATGTGTTTACATCGGGTTCTGTACTCTATATATATATATATATATATATTCAAAGCCATTTTGTGAAATCAATGTAAGAATTAATAGTTTTTTCTAATAGTAGTTTCCTTAGTATAGATACTATATTGTTGAGTAGTGGGCACTAGTAGTTATGGTAGAATAAAGAGGGTTTAAAAGATAACCAGAAAATTTAAATTTATTTTTGAGCATTGTTGGAAAGATGATACTCACTCAATCCCCTTTTATAAGCAACATTGACTCTATCACTTAGATTTAAAAGTTAGTTAAAGACAATAAATAGGTAAAAATTAAAAGTTCTTTTTCCAAAATATCATTATTTATAAAAGAGAGAGAGAATGTAAATGGAGAGAGATGATAGTTTGAAAAATGAGATAATAAATATATTGGATATTAAAATAAGTAATTAATTAGGAAAAAAATTATAAAAATTGCTATAAAAATTTAACACAACTTGTAAATACGAAGAGAGGATGATAGATGTTTAAGAGGGACGGAGGGAGTATGTAATTTCACGATATGAACTAATATTGACTAAATTTCTTAGTTTGTGGATTAGGTAACTGAGACTCAAAAATATAAAATGGAGGGAAATATACACAAACGCACCAGAATTAATGTGCAATTTATTGCAGCAGCATGCATGCTACATAGAAAAGCTAAAACGATTAAGAGATAATTAAGATCATATCAAGATTTAGGGCAAAAGGGGTACATATGGAATTGGGTGAAGATGAAGAGAAAGCATCATGGAGGAAAGTAGGCCGTCTGTCTCATTCATATCTATGTCGTCCTTTCCGTTTTCATTATTATGAGCAGGCAGCTTCCAATCAAACCAATACAAGAGATTAACAAGTGTATACTCAATCGTTGCCACTGAAAATAAGATCCCAGGACAAATTCTTCTTCCAAAACCAAATGGTATTAATCCAAAGTCTTGGCTTTTGAAATCAACATCATTATTCTCAAATCTTTCTGGTATGAATTCTTCTGGTTTTTCCCAGAGATTAGGATCTCTCTGAATTGCCCATGCGTTGATAATTACACTTGTTTTTGGGGGAATATCGTAGCCTCCTAGTTTCACAGTGCTACTATTAGTTTGCCTTGGGAAAAGAAGAGGACCAGGTGGATGAAGTCTCGTAGCTTCCTTCACCACACATTTCAAGTAGCTCATTTGATTCACATCGTTTTCTTCTATTATTTTTCTTGATTTATTGTTCTTCCCTGCAATTCTTCGTACCTCTTCTTGTGCTTTCTTCATTTTCTCCGGATGTCTCATCAATTCTGCCATAGCCCATTCTACCATAGTTGCATTAGCTTCCAATCCCCCAATAATCATACCCTGTGGTTTTTCAAATGCATCATGTGTTAGCTCACTCACTCACACACACACACACATTTACTACTCCTCTCTACAACTAAACAAATTAAATATATAGATAAAAATGTTGGTTAAAATTAAGCAAAAATAATAAATATGTAAGAGATATTTTTTTTCAGATATAAAAAGAATTAGTGAGAAAAAAATATGAGATATATATATAATTAATTAGGAGTAAAAATGAAAAAAAAAATCATTAAAATGTTGCTTATATATAGAACAGACTAAACTTATGTGAGAGAATGTTGCTTATGTATAGGACCAAAGAAAGTGTACTAGCCCTATTTCAAAGAGTGTAACTTACGGGACCATTATGTTTTATGATTAAATGTGTTCGTCTATTTGTGTGTTATATATATAGAGAGAGAAAGAGAGAGTACTATATACATATAGAGAGAGAGAGAAGTACTGTTATCAGTGTCTTGATGCTAGCTAGGGAGAGTCCAACGTCAGGCATATCATCGTCTTGTTGAAGTTGAACCAAAACATCTATGAAGTCCTTATTCTCAGTATTCTTTTTCCCACTCTTACGTTGTTCAATCTCGTGGTTGATGAAAGCGTCCATTTCTCTGAAATTGGCCTTCACTTTGGGAACAAGCCCTGTAACAAAATCCATCCACCACAATGACGGGAAGTAATCCCCAAAACTGAACTCCCTGAAATGAGTCAATATTTTCATGACTATCTCGTTAAAACCGTTACTTTTATCATCTAGTGTTTCATACTGCTTGCCAAAAACACATCTAAAATTTATGTTCCATGTGGTTGCACTAACCATCCTAACCAGATTCACTGCTACATTATTATTCTTCATGCAAGCTTCACGAATCTTGTTAACCATGTTTGAAACTTCCTCTTCTCTGATGAATTGAAAAGATCTCACCTTTTTCAAGCTTAGGAATTCAATAACAGAGATTTTCCTTTTGTATCTCCAATCTTCGCCGTAGGGTCCCAAACTCACGTCCTTGCCTCCATAGAAATAGATTTCTGGAACTGTCATTGAGGGACGATAAGAGAAAGCCAGGTCGTTGATTGTGACCATTTCTCTCACAAGGTTTGCAGAAGAAACCACCAGAGTTGGAATCTGACCAAATTGGAGCAACATAAGAGGGCCATACTTTTGTGAGAAAGATGTCAGAGAACGGTGAGAGAGCCCTCCTATCTGATGAAGATTGCCAATAATGGGTAATTTTGGAGGGCATGGAGGCAGATTCAGCTTATTGTTGCTTCTTCTAATTATGAGCTTAAACACAATCATGGTGAGGATGAGGCACCATAATATAGAAAGGCATAGGCTTTGATTTAGTAATTCTACAGCCATTGATCTTTCCATGAATGAAAGAACAATGAGACTGTGTTTCACTTTATATCAAAACGAAAGTACCCATCAGTATTTATATACAAGTTTAGGAAGGCTTCTATATTTTTTATTACAAGTCATAATAAATAAATTAGCATTAAATGCTCTTACGAATTACCAAGACTTGAAATTGCAAGTTTCGATACGCCTATCAATGACCAGCTCTTAATGTGATATTTCAACGGGTCTTTCAGTTTCAACTACTCCATTCAAACTAGTGTTCTAGACAATGGACTCAAGGAAAAAGTAATACACTGTCAAAAGTAATACATATATTAAAAAAGTACTTTTTTTAAAGATATCCTTATCTACTAAAGCGGATTTTATAAAAAAGAACAGGGGAGTATCATATTCCAACAATTACAAACACACATGCACGTGTAATAATGAAATGCTTGCATGTGCCAATGTCCTTATGATGAATGATAAAATGATATTGAAACTTTTAGATAAATGGAAGGTTACAGTTTCGATCTCATTTGTAAGTAGATTGTTAATGTAATTAAAAAAAAATAGCTGGTACACAAGTATAAAGCATGGCCACACAAAATTAGTGATAAACTTGACATTTTTGGCCCAAAAAATAGTTTAATTTAAAAATAATGACCTTTCGGTTCTTTTCAACCACTGTACAATGTGGTATAAGAAAGAATGAACCTTAAGGCTTTTCTTTTTTTTGGCACTCAAAATCATATCAACATTTGGAGCTTTCAAAAACATGAAAACACTAAGAAAGGCGCAAGAGATCTAAACTTTTCAGCCATTGTATTTTTCAGAATAATCCATCTTGGAAACACAATCATCATCATTTTCATTTCGGTGATAATATTATTTAGTTATATATATAATATTCATTAATTTGGAATATTCCAGCTACTACAGGGTCTAAACAGGAAAAAAAAATTTTAATATGATTTTTCCTATAAAACAGAACAATCATCATGGTCTGTGCATATTCCGCCAATATGATCAATTTCTTCTTCTATAACGAATTAATTGAAAGGATCATTGCACCCTTAGCTTCTTTAACCCGGAAGTTGAACAATAGAAATTTTAATTTCTTATCTTTGTTTACTATTGGCCATTGAGTGCGATTGATTTCTCGTGGCCAACACACTGATTAGAGTGTGACACTTTGAGTGTGATTAACTACATCATGGTTAAATAATTAATTGAAGTTTATATTAATATATATTATAAGTGTACATGATCATGCTTATTTGGCTTGTAAGACATTATAGTGCGTTTTAAAAAATAGGTTGGAAACCTTGTACTCAAACTATCAAGCATGAATGTGACCTTCCAACAAGCTCATAACTAATTACTTTTGCTCTCGAAGTGTACTTATTTTTCATATAATTATCTTACATAAACTAGACTGTTTGCTAATTCCATGTGATATGGGTCAAAGTTAACATTTTATAATATTTGAAAAATGTCAATTCATCAAAATTTAAATTAAAATAATCAGTCCCAAAAAAAAAAAGACACTTCTATTTATATGTAAATAGGACCTTTTTGTTGTTGTTGTGCGTAGTCTAATCTCGAGTATAGATAGTACATTTGATACTTAATATAAGAGCTAATTAATTAATTTGAGTAGGTTAAGAAAGTTTATTAAGTTAGTTATTGGTAATAAATATGTGTTGTCTTCTCTAAAATACCCTTCATAATAATGTATATTAATTAAAACTATCATTTGATGGAATATTTAACATGTACAACTATTATAAGAACTATTTTGAAAAAATAAATAAATATAAGATACAAAATGAATTAATATATTATATTTAGAACCAAATTAGAAGTGAAACTATTATGGGATCGTATAATCCATTGATTTTGGTCATTAGATTTCTTATTTACCTTTTTCATTTAAAAAAGGAAACAAAAAGCAAAAGAAAATTGTACTCATGATTCTTATTTCTGTTGCAATGACTCTGGTTGACCTTGGATCCTATATAACAGGCCAACGAAGAATTTAGCTCAATGCAGAGCAACTTCCACGCAGCATAGAATCAATCATCTTGGTTTGTTACCACCGAGATGAACTTTTCTTTCCTATTTCTCTTCTTCTCCCTCTTCCTCTTCTGTTTTCAACACCCGAGTTCTGCAACTAGTCTTCACAAAATGAAGCATCTCAGGCCACATCTTCTTGCTCAGCTTGGATCTTCAACAAATGACACCTCACCAACTGAGTTCTTCGAGGTAACCAAACCCATTAAACTCCCTCCAACAAAGCCTTGTTCATACCATATACTTGAACACGATTTTGGCTTCACGTATGGAAAAACGCCTGTTTTTGCCAATTACAGTCCCCCCAAACATTGCCCTCTCAAGTGTTCCAAGATTGTTCTCGAGTGGAAGGCGACTTGTAAAGGAACTCAATTCGATCGTATTTTCGGTGTGTGGCTTGGTGGAGTTGAGCTGCTTCGAAGTTGTACGGCGGAGCCTAGGCCTACTGGGATTGTTTGGACTGTTAAAAAGGACATTACGAGGTACTATTCGTTGCTCATGGATGATCATCTTCTTGCTGTTTATTTGGGAAATATTGTTGATAATACTTACACTGGGTTCTACCATGTTGATATTTTCTTTCACTTTTATCCTGACTTGAAGAGTTTTAGTAGTGATGAACCAAAATCTGATGGAAGTTTAGCATTTGGGTATGACTTTCCAGCAGATGTAATATTACCCATCTCACGAAATCTTCCATTGAATGATGGGTTGTGGTTTGAAATTGTGAGTTCCAATGATACAGCTATGAAAGAGTTCAAAATCCCCCAGAATGCATATAGGGCTGTGTTAGAGGTCTACATTTCATATCATGAGAGAGATGAATTTTGGTACAATAATCCTCCAAATGAGTACATTGCTGCAAACAACCTTACTGATACACCTGGAAATGGACCATTCAGAGAGGTTTTGGTCACTCTTGATGATCAGATTATTGGTGGGGTTTGGCCTTTTACTGTGATTTACACAGGAGGGATACAGCCCTTATTGTGGAGACCAATGACTGGAATAGGTTCATTTGATCTTCCTTCTTACGATATTGAAATCACACCATTTTTGGGTATGATATTGGATGGAGATACCCACTCATTAGGGTTTAGGGTAACAAATGCTTTGAATGTCTGGTTCATAGATGCAAATCTGCACGTTTGGTTGGATAGAAAGAGCACAAAAACAGAAGGAGAACTTTCTAACCTCATTGTCAAGCCTCTGGTTGTATCCTCTGTTTCACGTTATAAAGGCTTGAATGGAAATTTTCAAACTAGTGCGAGGAGATCAATTTCATCAACTGGGTGGGTGAGATCTTCTTTTGGTAATATCACAACCAGTTTAGTTCAAAACTTCACTTTCACGAACTCCCTGGTGTTTGGGAAAAACGGGGGAATGGAGAGTGTCAGCCAAACAATCCTTTTCAATGACACTGTTGATGCTGAGATTCCATATTTTGCTGTCCATTTTGTTGATAAAACTGACAGAAAATTTTCCCTATCCTTCTACGTGGATGAACTGAATCAAAGAAACGAAACATTTTCATATGTTGCAAATGTCACATTGGGATTTGAAGAGAATAATGATTCTGGATTCTTAAGCAGCTCTCTCAAGAATCTGCAGAATGCTCACAGCATTGTGGCCGTGAAGAATGATACTTTGGTTCAAGCAATTGGTAGTACACAACAAGTATACAAGTACAAAAGCCATGAGTTTTGCTATTTCCGGAATGTGAGTAATTTAGGGTACTCTATTCTCTATGATAAAGTTGCATACTCATGCAACCAGAGAAGCAACTCTGATCTTGGTTCTGTTATCTTCAAGGAGCCTTTCTCCAAAGACAAGTCTGAACATGTGTTGAGTATGTAGTGTGTTTGATTCGAGCTTTGTATAGAGGCTTCCGTTGCTACGGCCTCATTTTCTATTTCTGTGTTGCATGGGAGTTACACTGAATGTTGTGTGCCAAAAAGTGCCCGACGCCACTAGTTTAATTGTTAACTGTGTATTGGGATCCCAAACAAGTTAAATTAATGTTATGAAACAAGTTAGTTTAGTGTTTTGAATTAGTCAAATGGTGGGACTTAAACCTCTTTTACGGTGGAAGTCACTTTTTATAGTGTTACTTAAAAATGTATAGTTAAGTTTTTCTTTAATCATGGTAGATTTTTGAATTATGACGTATAATCTTTTCTACCACTGAGTTAAATTCTTTTATACTTTAATAAGTTCAATTCTGTTCTACCTTACTAGAATTAAAGAAAGCTTATGAAATTGTTTAGTTTTTTGGTTTTAAAAGCAGGAAGTTACAACATACTTTCTGTTGTTCAAGCTTCGCATGCTTTTGTTTTTGTGCCAAGTGATAGAAACTTTTTTAATTCAAAGTATTTTCTGTTCTACTTATTACCAAAAAAAAAAAAACATAATGACTACCTCGGATACAATGCCACATAGATCGCTCATTCACCCAACACGTGCCACCTATACCCCACATGGCATTCCAGCACAGAACATTTCGGTCTAACGTTGGTACAAACGATCAACACGGCCAATCTGTTAACTATGGGGGAATTGCACTGTCTTTGAAATTTCAGTGGGTACATTGCACTTTTCAAGAGTTCAGGATACCAACCGTCTTTGAGATGCTTCAGAGCCAAATTCACATCTTAACCCTAAATTAAATATCTTACTCTAATAATTGATTCGAGGAAATCGATAGAATTTAGTACCTAAGCTTAAGAAGGAGAAAGACACCGGAGAGTGGGAGAGTCCGAAATTGCGAAAAATAAGGACCAATTAAATGTCAGCTGGTGGCCCGTTTCGAAGCAGAAAAAAAATCCTGTGTGCCTCCAAATAATGATCAGATAGTAATTAGAAGTTAAGCATGCTTGAACATCTTCATGCTGAGCCAATGAAGGTATACAGCAACCACAACTATAGGCAGAGTCAACGGCACCAAGAAGCAGTAATACCTACAATAAGCCAAATACAGATCAGGAAAAGAAATTTTGTTTTTTTAAAAAAATAGAATTGTTTTGAGATTGATATTCAGTTGGGGGAGGGGGGGGGCTGGAACGGTGATAGCAGCATTATCGTCAACAGTAATGATGATCAAGTTATTAACAATAGTTATGATAACACTAGTAAAACATACAATTGAATAACCTATAACAGAAAAATAAATAAAATTCTCTAGAAATAATCAACCTGGAAGAGAATCACAAGAGACAGAGAGAAGTTATTTCCCACATATTATGACAGCTGAAAAACAATTCGTCAGGGTGAATTCAAGAACCACATGTCACCTTCAAAGGTATTTTTGGGAGCAGCAGGTCTCACTCAAGAAGGCACTTGACATAACCAAAATTTCGATCCAAGCATGAAAGATAACTGTATTGGTACACTGATACCCAAGGTGTATGTGTTTGGCACACTAATATCTAAGAAGCTTTGATGCATAATATGCCTATATTTTTACTAATACTTCATACTAGCCAAAAAACGATGAGAATCTTGTATCCTCAAACTCTTAGCTGTCTCAACTTCTCTTGAAGCTGTAACCTTTCTTTGATATATATACCTAAGAGATGGGAAGATATATAATACGTTTGCCAACCAATTCGTCATATTCTATAAAAGCTAAAAGACTTAAACTACATAGGTTGGCTGTAACTCCACACCAGAAGACAACCATTTCATTAGTTGGAAATGCTGCCCTGTTATTGGAGTCAAAGCATGTGATGTCACAAATCAAATTACCTGAAAAATCTACAATGTACATAAATGGTGGTGAATGAAATTTCAAACTGAACTCAAAATAGCAAGAGGCATCTCATCTCTGAGGACTAATCTGCTTTTATATGTATTGAGCTGTAACTCCATTGATTAGCTGCCTTTCATTTGTGAATCTTTTGTCATTCAGAATGGTTTCTGAAAATTGCATGGCTAAGCGTTGATAAAAACAAATAGATCCCTATACTTCAATGGATAATTTAAATGGGATAACAAGTAGAACTGGCAGTTTTAACTCAAAATAACTGCATCAATCATGTTTTGACAAGCATAAACTAATAAATTATTTGCATCAAATGATGAACAAGAACCCCATGTAGTCCCCCTTAACACATGTGATGGTACAAGCTCCCCACAATCACTTGGTCATTCCATGAGGATATACCCAGCATGTCTTGAGCTGATAACGCAGACCTGATTAGTAGTATGTTGGACACGAGGCTAAAAGACCTCAGACCAAACCAGCTATTTTGAAGGCACACCATCCTGAGGCTAGGAAGGAATTTCTACATTGATGAGCTCATTCCACACCCCACACCCCCCCACCCCCCCAAAAAAAAAAAAAGAAAGACGAAGAAGGTGATAGAACCTCTTGACATTTCTATCGCACAGATGACTGACAGAAATTTAAAAAAGAAGTTAGAAGCATTTGCTTTATCTATCCTAGAAGATAACTTAGATATTTTCTACATTATCGCCCACAATTGACCCAAGTGCAATCCTCTCTTGCATCTACATACTTATAATGGCAAGGATAAAACTTTATCCATGTTATTTCATGTAATCAAAACGAAACAGACACAGTCAATATTGTCCTCTAGCATCTTGAATCATAAAAATTTATATCTAGTCCATCAATAGTAAAACAAGTTGAACATAGAAAGTTCAGTATGGAACACAATTCAGTGTTAAGGCCTTATGATTTATGCATGCATTGTTCCCCTTCAGAAATCAGTAAATAAGAAAACATAAATAAATAGACAGAACCTTCACATTATAATTGATTACCAGTCATTTTGCATAGCAGATATTAACGCTATATTTGAAGGCGGAAGAAGCTTGGAAATAATTGCAGCAAATAAGTAGGCAACAAAGAATATAGAGCCAAGTAATATGAAAATCCATCCCCAAAATGTATTCTCTCTAGATGAAATCATTCGACAGGACCTCCAACTCCAAGGAGAGCCGCTCACAGCCAAGGTACCCGTTTGGTTGGCTAAATTTTAGCACAGTAAATGAAAACCAGCCTCCTTTCCACCTGCTCGCGCGTTTAGTAGCTGAGGAATAACGCTTACTTCGAACGCAGAAGAGATCATTCCTGCCAAGGGCGGGGAAGAGCTAGGTCCAGAAAGGGAGAGGCAGATAAATTTACTGAACTATCATGATGAAGCAAAACAGATCGAGATAGAGGCGATTATCCTGTCGCCGAAGCAATGATTCCTCTTCTCCGACAACTCACCCTGTCACCGGCCACACGTGCCGCCCACAAAATCATCGCCCTCGTTCACTGGATTTCTACGCATCCAATTGAACTGGGCAACTTGATCTGGTAGAGAAATCATTAGTTTAGTTAAGAAATAAATAACATACGAGCGGCTTATAATTCCGTTGTCGTCCAGCGGTTAGGATATCTGGCTTTCACCCAGGAGACCCGGGTTCGATTCCCGGCAACGGAACCAAACTTTTTGATTTTGTCTTTGTCACAAGCGTTAATATATAAATAATAAAAAATTATGGAAAAATCACCCCAAAAAAAAAATTTTTTTAAATAAAAAATGTGTAAGCACTATAATACTCTCTCATCTTTAATACCCGGTTCTAATTATAAGAGCCAAACTAATTTAAGAAAATTAAAGAAGTAAATTGAGTTAGTTATTTGTCTTAAATAGGTATTGTCTTTCTTAAAATATCTTTGTTAATCAAGTGTATTGACTAGAATTATCATTGTTAGAAAGGCTACTTTAGAAAAAATATATACTCCTTCGGTCCTAATTATAAGACCCAATTGACTTATTTGATGAGATTAAGGAAGTAAGTTAAGTTGGTTATTTATAATAAATAAATGTTGTCATTCCTAAAATATCCTTGCTAATTAAGTATATTGGCTAAAACTATCATTATTAGAAGGATTATCTTGGAAAAAAATGCATAAATATAAGAGACAAAATGGATTGGGTCTTATAATTAGGACCAAATAAAAAGTCAAATTGGGTCTTATAATAAGGATCGAAGGAGTATATAAATACGACGAACAAACTGAATTAGGGTCTTATATTCGAATCAAAATAAAAGTCAAACAGAGTCTTATATTAAGAACCGGAAGTGGTATAAAACTTATTTAACTAATTTGATTAAATTAAGAAAATTAGGTAAGTTAGTTAATTATAAAAAATATGACATATTTTTCTTAACAATTAGGTAAATTAATAAATATAAAAAATAGATCTTATATTTAGAATCAAAATTAAATAATTAGTTTTTATATCAAAGGACAGAAAGAGTATTAGTATTAGTTTTTTTTTTTTTGACCGGAGTATTAGTATTAGTTTTGACAACAAGTAAACGCCAACAATTGTAATAAATGGGTCTTTATGTATAATTTTTTAATTTCTTTCAAAGACTATCTCGATTTTCTATCCATCTCCTGGTGTTTCCCTGCTGCCTCTTGGGCCGTGGGTTTAGCCTTTGCTTCCAGTTGCAGGTCCCCACCACCAGTAGCTCGAGGAAGACGAAGGCAAAGCTTTGAGGGATAAGAAATCTCACCAACAACGAATTTTTATCCTTAAAATATAAAATTAGGATTCCCTTTCGTCTCTTCCTACTCCAGATGAGTGCTTCCGTTAGCAGGCTAGTTCTTCCACTCTGTCTCTCCCCCTCTATCTCACCCTATCTTTCTATAGTTGGTAACTTCAATTTTAGTTCTGACTTTGGAATTTTCTTTGTACAGTGCTGTGGGTTGGAAGTCTTCTTCCTTGTTCGTGCAATCTGGCTTCAACTATGGTGGCTCCAATGTAATTTCAGTCCCTCCAAAAGCAAAATTGCCGCACGGAAAATTTTCCGTCACTTGTTCAACATCCTCGCCTTCTAATGATGGTACGGCCTATTGTCTATTCCTGAAACTTTTTTGAGCGTCAATAACGAATTAGGTTACTCTGCTTTTTGTTTCTGGCGTTGATTATGTCCTATTTTACTGAAAATGAAGTTGTTTTATCTGTTTTGGCATTGGCGGAGATTCGTTAGATATACGGTGAGAGTAACGCCATTACTGTCGATAAGGATTTTTAGTTTTGATAAAACAATAATACAGAAATGAAGTGAATTCATCAGAATTGATTATTAGGACAAAATGATATTTATGTCTGCACTGCATATGTGGCTCCATCAATTATTCGTGCCCCAAGATTCTCTTCTGTTTTTGACTATCGTTAAGGTATGAATATGTGTTTGCAGATGGTTATTGGAATGAAATTTGGTTGTATCATTGCAAATATGGTTAGAAGCCATCTGACTTCGTTTGGAAATTCGGACAGTTGATTGATTGAGTGTTTCATTGAGAGTGGCTTATAGGATCACTGCTAAGTGGCGTTAAAAAGAACTTTTAGTTAGTCTTACTACTCCATTATTTCTTAAATATGTTGTGTATTATTTCTTTGAAGGAAAAGGAGAGGTAGTATTGAGGGCACCGACTTGTATTTGTTCATTTTATTACTTCTATTGAGTAGGGTATGACGGTAATTTCCATGTTATTGATTTTATGTTGTATCTTGTGCAGACACAGGAAATTACATGTCTATGTAAACAGGTTTTCGTGATGATTGACTTTATGTTTTGTGTATCCTTTTGTTTTGTTTTCTTACTCAGATCCACTGTTAGTAAAGGCTGCCAGAGGAGATGCTGTTAGTCGTCCTCCAGCATGGATGATGCGCCAGGCAGGAAGGTACATGGCTGTTTACAGAAAGCTTGCTGAGAAATATCCATCCTTCCGACAGAGGTCAGAGACGACTGATCTCATTGTGGAAATTTCTTTGCAGCCTTGGAGAGCTTTCAGACCTGATGGGGTAATTATTTTCTCGGACATACTTACTCCTCTGCCTGCCTTTGGTGTCCCATTTGACATAGAAGAAGTGAGGGGACCTGTTATATCATCACCGATACGCTCTGAAGAGGATTTAAAATCCTTGCATCCAATTGATTTGGATAAACTTAGTTTTGTTGGAGAATCACTCAAGATATTACGCCAGGAGGTAAGTTTGTTGTCTCACCTCATTTTTAACATAACTACTCAGGTAAATCTGTTTTCCTAAGTTAACGTTTATTTTGTTTTCTCTATGGTTTATCTAGGTTGGTGGTCATGCTGCTGTTTTGGGTTTTGTGGGAGCACCTTGGACGATAGCTACATACATAGTGGAAGGGGTACAACACGCACATATACAAAGATAAAGAGCATGTGCCATACAGAGCCACATGTATTGAGGACTCTTCTTTCTCATTTGACACAGGCAATAACAGAGTACATCATTTATCAAGTTCAGTCTGGAGCTCATTGCATACAAATATTTGATTCATGGGGTGGACAACTACCACCTGATATGTGGGAACGCTGGTCAAAGCCTTACATCAAAGAGGTGGCTTTGAAAACATACTCCTTTTTTGTTCTTTTCTTGTCTTTTCTTTTCTTTGCCCCAAATGTTTCATTTTCACCCTGCATTGTTTGATATTAATGCATATACTATGCTCATACTCATGTTAAAACAGGCTCATCTCCTTTATATTGTTGAGGAAACAAAATAGACCAATGGTCCATAGCTTGCAGAGCTTTTCATTATTACGGTTTCATGTTAAGTTAATTCTTACAGAGCTTGAAGACTCTTTGGACCGCTATTGGCTAGTTGGCCTGGTGAAGAAAACTATCAGAAGTTCAGAAATTATTTACTCTGTTGAAAGCTTGTGTATTAGCAGCTTTTAGTAACAAATTAAGTTCATAACTTACTTATATGCTGTTTGAATATTTTAGTTTTCAAATACCAAAGGACTAAATCCCAAACAAGAAGCCGCATTTTTCATATATTTATGTTGAATTCTATGACTAATATTCCTGTAATATTTTCCTAGTTATTTTCTTTATTGATAGTGCTAAAAAACTGTCAATGCTAGGTTAATTACTGTCTTGCCATTTTCTTCCTTTTCTGCAATAGTTATTGTCTTGCCATTTTCTTCTTGTTTTTTTCCTTCCCAATTTCCAGATTGTTAATGTGGTGAAGGAAAAGTGCCCTAAGACCCCGCTTGTCCTATATATAAATGGTAATGGTGGCCTTCTTGAGCGTATGAAAGAAACTGGAGTTGATGTTATTGGTCTAGACTGGACAGTAGATATGGCCGATGGAAGAAGACGACTGGGTAGTGGAATAAGTGTGCAGGGAAATGTGGACCCTGCTTACTTGTTCTCCCCTCTTAGTGCTGTGACTGAAGAAATTCAGAGGTTTGTGACTTATATACTCTTAACTTTGGTTTTCTTTGTGCAATCAAGTATGATAGTCTTGCAAAGATTTAGATTCAATCTTCACCATTTCTGGGCTGTAGTCTTTCTTCTTATGAATTATGCTGGGGGACTGAACTCCACTTGATATACGCTCACAGTAGGATCACGGTACTGAAAATGGTTGTGTTGGTAGTGGCAATCAACAACTTAAAAACTGAAGTACCATTGATAAATCCGTTTATTTTTAATTTGACATGGATTTGTCGATTCAGTTGGATTGGGACCCTTGGAAGAAAGGCCATATTTTCTTTGATTGTTGACTTGAAATTGAAGTCATTGGATACTATACTAGCAGTTATGTCCTGGTGACTAACAAATGACCAGAATCAATAAAACACTAATTTGATGGATCTTGAGTCTTTTTTTTCCCCATTTCATTGGATAATTAGACTGAAGGAAGTGTTTGTCAGGGTTGTAAGGTGTGCAGGGCCTCGACGACACATTCTTAATCTAGGGCATGGTGTTCTTGTTGGCACACCGGAAGAAGCGGTTGCACATTTCTTTGAAGTAGCAAGGAGCTTGGAGTTTGAAACACTGTTTAGAGATAAAGCTGCCGAAGAACCTAACCTTGTAGTGTGAGGACAAATCCTGCTTAAGTATCGCTAACGCCAGAGTTGCCACATGTTCAAAACTTACTTTAGCCAGCAAGTTCAAGCATTTTTGTAGAAAGGTCAAAGGGGCTGTACATTGTTGTGCCAGCTAACTTGATGATCTTATGGTTTTACTGTCGGCTATTCTATTATTGAATATATTGATGAGTTCTTTCCCATTGTTTAATTTCGGATCGTGCCCTTTCTATGTATCCATTGTCCGATATAGTTCTAATTAATCCAAGTTTAAGTCGTTAAGGAGCTTTGGCTTGCATGATCAAATTGCCTAGTAACTGGATATCTGCGGGTGCCGTCTATTTCACCTTGACTATCTCACACCTGTGAACTTTCATTTCTGATTTTGTTTCAAAAGAAAAGGTTTTTAATTTGCTACTTTTATTCTGCGAATAACAATTCACTTTGGCATTTAGAAAGCCATTATATATTTTTGATCGTTTTAAACACATGAAAACGGGAAAACAGAAATAAACTTTTTCTATCACTTAGACCAAACAGATTCTTATTACACAGTAAAGTACAAGGGCATTGTTAATCAAGGGTATATCGTAGCACATTATTACTGATCATACAGTAAAATTGAACTCTTATATGTCATACAATACAGTTGAATTCTTGTATTTCATTTATGAGCCATGCGCATTTCTTAGAACAGCAGAGCATTCACATTGCAGTGGAATGGTTGCGATATCGCTGTAAGGTCTCACTTAGAGTCTTGAGAGCCTTGTCATATGCTATAAACCCCATAAAAGTGAATTCATAGCCATCCACTGTGACAACCTCAATGTATTTTTCGGAAGGGTTCCATCTATTTGAGGAAGGAGTAACCCTGCTCAACTTTTCCACTGGAACTACCACCTGCATATCAAATACAAAATCAGAGTTGGTATTAGAAAATATAACATTAGAGATTCAGTTATCAAGAAATTGAAGTAGTCAGCTATGATCTTAGTAGGCAGCACCTATATGAGATAATTTGGCCTAACCTTGTACCTTTGTTTTTTCTGTTAACAAATTTAAGCAGTCCCAACTAACTGAGAATTGAAACATTGAAAGCTTGTATATGAAAGTTAATTAAGCTACCGCTCGAAGATAGGGAATAGTACGCTGCTTGTTACATTATCAATCTTGCATTGTTGGGGTATGAGATATAATATTTAAGATTTTAATGTTTGTAATGAGATACAACATATGTTGTGCAAAAGCTAACAGAGCCAAAACTTCTGGAATGTGAAATCCTCTCACTTCTTGATTGTCATGCTTCCTTGCATCTTGGATTATATCAAGCATCATGAACACCAATAACACGAAGACAATCAGAGATTTCTACTGTTAAGCAAGATGCTATGATTAAAACGACAGAATACCAAATACCAAAAACTACTTTTAACTTCTGAGTGGGGAAAAGGAAGGTAAAAAATACCTTATAGCACATGGATTGACTATGGAGTGAGAATGGGTAATAATGAAGTGGATAGTCACTGCAGAAGGCTAATCTTTTTGTTGATATGAAAAGTGTTCCATTTATAGGTCCAGAGGAAGTTGATAGATAGCAGGCATATTGCGTTAACAGCTTCTCTCCTTGCAATATCCCAAATGAATTCTGAAATACTCTGTCATGCCCTCCTTGGGTGAGCACTTTTGCTCCTTGAACAAGTCTAGCCATTGCTGCATCAGCTGGATTAGAGCCCAACCTGACTGCATATGGAAAACATATTACAGAGGCTCAGACTTTCCCCAAAAAAAAAAAAACTAAACTCAATTCGTCTATTGGACTTCAGACCAGACTTGCATTTAGTACAATGTTCATGTCGAAAACTTAGTTTATAAAATCATAGTGAATAAGGGAAGAACAAAATCTGAAACTTACCTGAAAGGAACCATGATTAACTATCACATAGGTGTCAACTGTTAGGATTCTAGTCTTCTGCTGATTAACAATCAGCTTCCCAGAATTTAGAGAAAAACAGTTGAGATAAGGAAAAAGCGAAAGAATGCAATTCAGCTTACGTTATCTTTACTTATTTTTATGCGATCCTAACCAGACACAAAGTACTAGTATTTACTTTAATTTTTCTTTATACGTACAAGACAATTTATATATAACAAGTAGTAGTAGTACTCTCACTTCACTAGATTTGAAATTCTATATTCTAACATCACATAAAGACCATTAACCATTCCATCTTAAGCTCTTAGGTCGTGATCATAGTCTATAACAATTACTTCTCCACCCAGTTCTTCTCAAGTCGACTTACCTTCATAAGCAGTTAATGGTCATTCATGTTTCATTTCCCGCTTTAATTCATTTCTATAAACGGTCGTGAAGACAGAGGAAACTCACTGTGACTCCAGAAATTATCGGCCATGCTCTCTGCTTGCCTGGTTGCCTTTTCAACAGTTTTGCTACACCGATGTAACGCATCCCATATAGTATCCATGGGATTAGGGCCTGAAATCGTAGCAGAAAGATAAATAGAAGTGAATTACCAAAAAAAAATTCATATAGGAGAGAAGATCTGTTGGAAATTTACTCACTGCTGTTGTAAGCAGGGGAAGCGGACCCAGGGGAAACGTTAGTATAAGGGTTGTGACTGTTGTTGTGGTTGATGGTGTTGTCAGGAGAACTTGATCGAATAGGGATTTCTCTGTAATCGGCCATCTGCTATGGATTAGGAGGAGGAGAAGTAAGAGAACTTTACACTGAACTCTATGAGAGAGAAATTGCGTGGAGAGGAGAAGGGAATGAAAGAGAACAGAGGAGAGTATGGGAAGAGATGTGTGGGCTACAATTTGCTCACCCCTGTGTTGCGTTACGAAATAAATCGATTACATTATTCTGTATTAAGAGTGTGTTTGGATGAAATCAAGGCGTGGTGAAAAAATGATTTTGGAAAATAGATTCTGGAAAGAATAAATTTTATGAAAAAGTGATTTTGAAAAGTGAGAGTGTTTGGATAGTTGTTATCAGAAGCACTTTTTATATATACAAATTACTAAAAAAAAACAAAAGTTAATATGATATTACAGAAAAAAATATATTTATGATATATTTTAATTTGAAGGAATAAAATTGTTAATAATATATTTTTTATTAACATAATTAATAATACATAAGATAATATAATTAATAAATAATTAATATGTATATATATTTATAAAATATAAGATTAAATATGTTTATAAAAAAATATGTTTATAAAAAAAATAACAAGATACATATCCTATAGACTCTCACATTCTCCCTTTTTTCTCCAAAAGTAAAAAAATTTTGCTTTTTTCAAAACCATGGTTTTGACCCAAAACCATGGTTTGTGCAAATTGGGTGGATGTTTGGGTGACTTATCACCCAAACGGTGCCTAAATAAAAAATTAATATGTCAATTACCGCAGTATAAAATTTAGGAATGAAATCTATGTTCTTCCCACAGCAACTCCACCTAAACTGTCATTTTTTATCACGTGGATAGCAACTATTTTTTATTGGAATTTTTTAATATGCATGATCAATATAAATATTTCTAGAAAAAAAAAATTATTACCGCCGGTCATTAATATAAGATCTTATTTGATTTTTATTTTGGTTCTAAATATAAAACACAATCCACTTTGTCTCTCATATTTATACATTTTTTCCCAATATAGTCTTTCTAATAATAGTAGTTCTAATCAATATATTTAATTAACAAAAATATTTTTAAAAAATAACATCTATTTATTACAAAATTTAGAACCGGCGAAAGTACTATATAATATAAAATTTAGGAATAGAATCTAAACCAATGTTCTTTGGTCCAAAAAAAAATAAAGCAAAATAAGGGGAGGAGAGGGGAGGTGAGAGAAAATTTTAGTAAGTTTGATTTTAAAAAATGGTAAAGTAGGGTTAGAAAATTTTTATTAAAAAAAGATGTAAAATAAAATAGTAATAAAAATTAATTAAAATTTTTTAACTTCACTTTTTATTTTTTTTTAATTAGTCTCATTAAAATTTTTCTTTCCCTTCCTCCTTTTTCGTTTTCCTCATACCAAAAAGACTTAGCGTGAATAATCTTTCAATCTGATTCTAAACTATCAATTGGAATTTTACATGGATAAGGATAAGGATTAGGTTGAATATAATAACACCATCCTTCCAGATTTTTTTTTTTTTGGCCAAACCATCTTTCCAGATTCGTTTGTCAAATTTCGTGATGGAATATGATGATGTTGAAAAGCGAATCTTAAAAAAGTAAATAAGCAGTAACGAATTTGTTCTCCTTTAACTAAGGCCATCAGGAAATATTTGTAACAAAAATTAAGTATATTAAATGATGTTAAATTTTAGTCTTGAGAATCTTTTTTATTTTTTATTTATAAAAAGTGACTTTTTAAGTATATAAAAAATGAAATTAATTAATAATTAAATATTATTTGTTATATTAAAATCTTTAACATATAAAATTTTGAAATTTACAATAACTTAGAATCATCATTGAATTAAAAAAAAAAAAATATGAACAGCTATTTTCCTGGGACGTAAATTGCCTTTTATTTTTGGACTCTGGCCCTTTATATAACAATAAAAATCATACAATACATGTTATACTTATATGGCAAAATAAATTACTCATTTACAACTCCAGGCAACTTACCTCTATTTTTAATAGAGAATTTACGAAAAGTGAATTTGATTATAAGATCATTAGTAATTTGGTTATACTAATTGAGAGCAACTTCCATTTCTACAACTACATTAGGATGAATAAGTTTACGATGAACACTCCATGCTCATTATTTTCATGAGCAAAGAATGTGCTCCCAAAAAGAATAAGATCCACAAGAAGTATTAACTAACTCAAACCAAGCCTTATAACTACTAGTATTTGAAGGAAGTTTTTCAAGTAACATAAAACATGACTCAATGAAACATTAAACAAGAAGTGCCAAATCCCATTTTCACTCAATAAATCATGGAGCTGTGTGTGTTGTTACGAGGCAAGTGCGTTGTTGTTACAACAGCAAGAAGCATTCAAGTTGCAGAAGAATGGTTGCGATGTCGCTGTAAGGCCTCATTTAGAGTCTTGAGAGCCTTGTCATATGCTATAAACCCCATGAAAGTGAATTCATAGCCATCCACTGTCACTATCTCAATGTACTTTTCTGCAGGGTTCCAGCTGGTTGTGCATGGACTCGCCCTGCTCAACTGTTCCATTGGAATTACCACCTACACATATCAGACACAGAATCAAATATCTGATATTAGAGAACATAACATTAGACATTTAGAAAGAAAAACTTCTAGGTACAGAAAGAAAATCTCTGAAGGGACATCCATTAACCATTTTAGAAGATGCAACCAGAAATATTGTTAGTTGTAGAAGCCTAGTAAAATCTCTCACCTTGTCTTAAGAATCATATGAAACTATTCATGAGTTGTCTTTAATATGATATCAAAATCATTTTACGACCAAGTAATTAAGAGCTTGATCCTTATTAGCAGTAATCCTCTTTTGGTTTTAACTGCTCCTTAAGGCAAAGACTTCAATGATGTCAAGAATCTTGAATACTAATGTAGCAAACAGAAAGTCATAGATGTCTACTGATATGCAAGACAATAGGATCAAAAGCACGACATATTGTTATGAGTTTCATGTCGGGGAGTCTCACAAGTATAATGTGATTTATGAGTTTAAAGAGTCTTCCCATCCAATAAGTTAGTTTTTGGTTAGATACTTTCTTTAAACTTGTGCTGGTAATACCTATATGCCAAGGACTAATGTGAAGTTTTGAGGCGCAAAGAAAGAAGGAAAGTAACAAATACCTTGTAGTATACGGATCGACTATTATGAGGAGCGTTTGGGTAATAATAGAATGGATAGTCACTGCAAAAGGCTAATCTTTTGGTTGAGATGTAGAATGTTCCAAGGATGGGTCCATTAGAAGTTGAGATGTAGCAGGCATATATTGGTTCAACAGCTTATCCCCATGCAGTCTCCCAAATGTATTCTCAAATACTCCGTCATGCCCTCCATATGTCATCAGCACTTTTGTTCCTTGCACAACTCTTGCCATTGCTGCATCAGCTGGGTTAGACCCCAATCTTACTGCACATTGAGAATTTCAGAACAACTAAATTCATCTTTAACTACTTATTACCCCACGTCCTTAATATAATGCCTAGTTAACTAATTTGAAAAGATTAAAAAAGTTAGTTAAGTTAGTTATTCATGGTAAATAGATACTCCTCCGGTCCTAATTATAAGACCCAATTAACTTATTTGAGGAGATTAAGGAAGTAAGTTAAGTTGGTTATTTATAATAAATAAGTGTTGTCATTCCTAAAATATCCTTGCTAATTAAGTATATTGGCTAAAACTATCATTATTAGAAGGATTATCTTGGAAAAAAATACATAAATATAAGAGACAAAATGGATTGGGTCTTATAATTAGGACCAAATAAAAAGTCAAATTGGGTCTTATAATAAGGACCGGAGGAGTATTATCTTTCTGAAAATACTCTTATTAATCAAGTGTGTTTAAATTACCCATTAATAGTAACTCCTTAACGTATGTAAAGATTAGGGTGTTATATTTAAAAGTTAGTTGAAAAACAAAGATAGTAAATTAGAACTACCCCTTAATATGCAATTAAGGGATAGTTTGAGGGAAAAAATCACAACTTTTCAGAGATAGAATATATTGAGTTCTTATATTAATCCTGAATAGCTTCTAGATATCTAGGCCAGAGGAAGTAATACTTTACTTGTCTTTCTTTATACGTGC